CATGCTGAGGCCGCGTCCCACATACAGCAACTAGAAGGATGTGCAGCTATGACATACAACTATCTACTGGGGCTTTGGGGGAAAAAATAAATAAATAAATAAAATTACAAACCACGATGTAGAAAACATCGAAAATTAATCAGCTTTAAAAAAAAAAAAAAAAAGATTAACCTAAACCAGAACAATTAGAGAACAACTGTGTGGACTGGGTGGGAAGCTGGTCTGGCAGCAGGAGATAAAGGGCAGCAGGCAGGAGAGTGAGCATGTGAGCCACATCTGGCCCATGGGGGCGCGGGGGTGGCTGGCTGGGCACCCAGGGGCGGGCGGCTGTGAGCACAGGGGTCTGTGAGGACAGACAGGAGAGCAACCCGCCCACTCAAGGACACAACGCAGCTAAAAACACAATGGGAAACAGCAAGATGAAGGTGGCAAAACTTGGAACAGCAAGACAAGAAAGTAGCTATTTTCTGTGCTCAAAAGACTGCTTTTTGCATCAGTTGGGCCTGGTTAAGAGAATCTTAGCCTGTAGAGAGACAGCTGATATTTTATGTTGTTTATTATGGGGAATTATAATGCTAGGGAGTATCATTCTTTTTCCCTTGGTGTGATATTGTGGTAGCAAAGCAAGACGAAGGAAAAAAGAAATGAAATAAGGGCAAATGGAGGATAAATCACAAACGGGCTCCTTTTTATAAGGAGGTTAACATTTTAGACAGTTATATGTAAAGATGGAGGAATGCTGAGTGGGAAATATGATCAGACACGGAACCTCCTATGAAGTTGAATGGAGAGGGTCAGACTTCAGGAGAGGGGTGCTGGGAGAAGGGACAGACAGAACAATGAAAGAAAGAAGCAAAACTGCGGAATGCTTTCTATTCTTTCAAGTTCGAATGAAGATGGCCAAGTACCTTGTAATAACCTGACAGCAGAGTTAAAGGTCACGGTCAAAGCTGCACTGTGTATGCAGATACACATACATACAAATGTATCCATATACACATACACTCTATCTCGTTTCCCCAGGAAAAAACATGTGAATAAATAACAAAATAATCAGAAGGGGGCCACACTTGTTCTAGCTAGGGCACCTCAGGGGAAAGTCTGGGGGAAAGTATGAGTTTGTACTGTGCAGAAAGAACCATGTATCAATAGGGAGAGTATGCACAAGGCGTAACCATGCTGAGCATCCTCTCCTGGAAAAGACTCTGATCGTGTGAGTATAAATAATAAATCACACAGCTGGACGGCCATGATAACTTGCCTGTACTATCAGAACTGGCAGAAAAATGGATGCTCACTCCACGGTGCTCTCTGTAAGACTCAGATCAGTGACGGCAGCTGCTTCTCAATTGCTAGCCCTACTCTTACCAACACTCACAGTGTTGGGCTCACCCTGAGAGGAGAAGGAAAGGGAGTCAGCAACGAGTGCAGCAGACGGGAGAGACTGATGAAGAGTCTAGGAAAACCTCCAGAGGCAGCCAGGACACAACATGAGTCCTGCATGATGGGAGCAAATTTGGATAAATGGAGGAAGAGAGAGAGGTGTGCATAAACCACCAATCCCTACCCAACGTCCATTCTCTCCTTCTTCCTTAATAAAAGGAACTCCGATTTTATACCAGCCGCCTACATACCCACCTAACACAATATAATTTCCAGGCTCTTTTGCAGTAGGGGTGGTCACTGAGATGAAGCAAGTTATTAACATTCTACTGTATTTCCTGCAACTGTTTCTGATGAACTAAATTTAAAGAAACTAAAACTTTAAGTCTAATGCTCCCAGATCTGTATTTAAATAGCTCAAACGATTTATATAAAGACACGCAGGTAGGGCCGGCCCTGTGGCATAGCGGTTAAGCGCGCGCACTCCGCTGCAGGCAGCCCCAGTTTGGATCCCGGGCGTGCACCAACGCACTGCTTGCCAGGCCATGCTGTGGCGGCGTCCCACGTAAAGTGGAGGAAGATGGGCACAGATGTTAGCCCAGGGCCAGTCTTCCTCAGCCAAAAGAGGAGGACTGGTGTGGATGATAGCTCAGGGCTGATCTTCCTCACAAAAAAAAACCAAAAGGGGCCGGCCCAGCGGTGCAAGTGGATAAGTGCGCGCACTCTGCTTCGGCGGCCCAGGGTTCGCGGGTTCGCATCCCGGGAGGGCACCGATGCGCTGCTTGCCAGGCCATGCTGTGGCGGCGTCCCATATAAAGTGGAGGAAGATGAGCACAGATGTTAGCTCAGGGCCAATGTTCCTTGGCAAAAAAGAGGAGGATCAGTATCCAATGTTAGCTCAGGGCTGATTTTCCTCACCAAAAAAAAAAAAAAAAGACACAGGCACACAGATAATCTGTCATCTGATTGACTAAAAGAATAACCTTATTTAACCCATATCTTAACAATCAAATGCCATACAGTAATAAAATGTCCTGGAAAGAGTAAAGTTTTGACTTCACAACAAAATTTCATTACCTGAGCACAGTGCCATTATCTGCAAGTTTAATGAAGTTCCCACCTTCCAGATCCAATGCCAAGCCCTTGCAACTAAAATAGAAAAGTCTGATTACCAATCAAACCATATATTTAGCTAACAAAGAAATAATGATCTATATTTTTAAGAAGTCATAATGTTAAAAAGGGATTCTCCCACCCAGGTGAATATGTTAATCAAATGAATAAGAATATCCAAGAATTCTAAAATTAAATATCATCCACAGAGCAAGTACATAAGGAAAACTGTTGTGTAGGCAAATGAAGGACAACATGTTTAGTTTGTAATATCCTTAAGCTTTTAAAAAGAGGAATCCAAAACTCAAAGAGAACAAAAAATGAACATCATTGCATGTCTCTGTTAAAATGTAAATGTTTCCTATCAAATAAAACACACAGACACATGCACATATTCATATTCTGCAAATTAAGATCTTAGCCAGAGTCTTTTCTGTACTCTTTAGAATTTGCCTCAGTTTAGGTCGGGTTTTAAGAACTTGCCCTCTGGGCAAGTCATATTATTGAAAACCACCATAAGCAAGTCAAATACCAAGTTTTAGGTTCTTCACTGTAAAAGACTTGTGGGGTGTGGGGAGAAAAGTAGGTACAGATGCATTATTATGAATAATAAAAGCAAGGAGGTAGAATAGCCACCAAATACCAAGAGAATTAAAAAAAAAATTGACAGGGTACTTTAGAAGCGTTATTTACTTTAGTCCACAGTAAAATTCCCAGAGTCAGATGTTTCAGACAGTGAAATGTTTTCTTCCTTTTACAAAAGGGATAAATCAAAAAGGCCTAACCAAACACTGGAGGAATGTGAAATAGATGAACATCATTGCTCTAGAATTACTTCTGCATGTATTTTTCATGTGCTCTAGGATTATTATTAATTTTCAACTGCACAATTTAAAGTGCTTTAATAGCAGTTTTATTTGTCTTTGTTGTTAAATGAGATAGAAGACAAAAGAAGCCTTAGGAAGTTGAGATTCCTAACCCAGGAAGGGAGAAAACAGTAAGAGTCTCAGACACAGGAATGTCTATCCAAATTACAGAAAACCAAAGGTCTTAATTTACACACTTGTTCAAAACATGACAATTCCTCCTCTTCTACATTTTTTTATTTAAAGGGCAATAAAACAAATTTCTTTTTTTTTTTTGGTAAGGAAGATCGGCCCTAAACCAACATCTGCCAATCCTCCTCTTTTTTGCTGAGGAAGACTGGCCCTGGGCTAACATCCATGCCCATCTTCCTCTACTTTATATGGGATGCCGCCACAGCATGGCTTGCCAAGCGGTGCATCGGTGCACGCCCGGGATCCGGACCAGTGAACCCCAGGCCACCGCAGTGGAGCGCGCGCACTTAACCGCTTGCGCCACGGGGCCAGCTCCCCAATTTTTTTTTTTTAAACATGTAAATTTTCGAGACAGTTTTTAATAACCTCTGAAACTGTTAACAAGGACAAACTTGAACCATACAAAAATACCCAAATTAGTCACATAAGCTCTTAGCTTATTTTCACATTTAATTAAGCAAGTCTAAACTTAAAACTAGAAAGGACTTTAATTCATTAAACATTAAACTTTTGGTATAGAAGCCATTGACTCAATTTCACATTTCACTTTCTGCCTCCATAGAAGAGGAAGCATTAAAATTTTATCAGAAACAATTAAGCATCAGAAGGAATGCACGGAGCTTAACAAAAAGAACTTACCAGAAATCCCAATCCTCTGGAGCAACAGTGAGCAATTCCTTGTCATACCCTCTCTCCTTGACCAGAAACTGAGCAAAGCTATTATAAATGAGCTGTAAACAAGGAGAAGGAAAAAACAGAAAGTAAATGTAAAAGTCACCACTCATTTTTAATTTCACATTTGTGCAAACCTAATGGAATCACTCATGGGGCAGTTTGGAGTGAAATATCTGTAACTGGGAAGTTCTGCAGTTCACAAGCAATTTATCTATGCCTTTGAGCTCCAAGTAGCTGTTGTGTCTTTCTTATACTCCAAAATTATACCATCAATATACGATTATACAACCAAGGACAATTACTAATCTTACTCCTAAATTCTAATGGGTTGGAGATCATTAAGACTTGACAAAGCTTTGTAAACTTATTTAACACAACACCAAGACAATAAATAAATCGAGCACTCTATCATTACACCCATCATCGGTCCATCTTTGCTTGAAAGGCCCCATCTCAGGGGAATCTCAAAGGGAAATACACATGGGGACCAGCAAGGAATCATGGAACCTCCATTAGATACTGGAAATATCTCTTATCTCTTCACCATAAGAAAAACAACTGAGAGCCAGCCCTCATGGCCTAGTGGTTAAAGTTTAGTGCTCACTACTGCGGTGGCCTAGCTTCGCTTACCCATCAAGGAACCATACCACCCGTCTGTCAGTTGCCATGCTGTGGCAGCAGCTTACATAGAAGAACTAGAACGACCCACAACTAGGATACACAACCATGTACTGGGGTTTTGGGGAGGGAAAAAAAAAACAAAAACAAGTGAGGAAAAAAGACAAAGGAAGCTTCTGGAAGCAAGCACCAAGATAAATGCTCTGCTGATTGTTGACAGATCTTCTGATTTCTCAACAACAACAAAATCCCAGGTTTTGGAGTAAAATATCTTTTTTTAAGAGCTGAATCAATTTTTAAAGAACTGTGCATTCCAAACCAAAAGTAGACAAAAGGTGAGTGAAGGTCCACGCTGGCCCCACCCCATGCTCCTTCTGAAGAGTATTCTTAGTGCGGCATCAGATGCACTTGAACCAGAGGCAGAACAGTGCTCTGGGGTCAGACTGAGCAGTGTCCAAGAAGAAAAGTGAGCAACCTGACCCTTCCTCAGATATTCAGCCAAGACAGGTTTTGATAGCATGGGATGGCACAGAGGGAAGAGGGTACAGACACAGCAAAATGAGTGCGAGAAGGCCTTCCTGCAGTGGTGATGTTTACACTGACGCCTGGAAGAGGCCGCACTTAGCTGGGTGAGTCCAGACGGGAGGGGCAACCCAGGTCTAGAAACTGTGCGCAGGTTTGGGTGTGAGTGTCAGGATATAAATGTGGAAAGCAAAGGCTCCTTATCAGATAAAGCTGTTCTCTACCGTAAAGCGAAATAACATCACTCTACCCGTACTCCCACACGATGCAATGTGACCCTGATCCAGGTGAACTGTTGATAGACCCACATTATGTCAACACTATATAACAACAGTTCTCAACCCTGGTGGTGATTCAGAACCACAGGTAATGGTTCTTAAAACCACCCAGAAACTCCAAGCCTACAGGAGAGGGTGGGGCCCAGGTAGGGCCTCTACAGAATTCCTGAAGCCCAGAGATGACTGAAAACCATTGACTTATATGGATTTTCATTCAATCATTAAAAAAAATCTGTCAAAAATTTGAGTCACTCTGAGGTACAAAGTACTACAGACAATAAAAAATACACATCATGATCCTCCCTGAAAGCAACCAGTGCTGTGGGGTTAACAGATGTACAGTGCTTCCAGCAACACCTGGCATACAAGTAAATTTAATTTAAGCATTTGCAAGCGCCGGTTAAAAAAAACAAGGCCCTGACTTGTAGCATTTGCTCATTTCCATGGTATAAAGACTCCCACCGTGGCCAGTTTCAAGCTACCAATAGTTACTGCACACCATTAGACTTGCTTCTGGTCAAGGTACCTTATTCAGCCTTGGACAACTGGCAGCTCTCACCCCTTGGCAATACTGATTAAGACATGGGCATGTGATTCCAATGAGGTCAGATTCCTTCCTAAGAGAAAGGAGCCCTTTCCAGCTACGCTGCCAACTGGGGCATCCACAGCTGTGTTCTTACCTCGTAGAGGAGACATCTGTAACAGGAGAAAATGGGGTCGATGCACAAAGAGAGGCAAAGAACTTCGGTGCCGGAAAAAAGAGGGGAGTCTGTGCCTTTGAAACCCCTGTTCTAGTCCCAAGGCCTCGGTTCTTGGAGCTTTCCCTTAGATAATGTTGAATTACCCCAGAAGGCTTCACAGCACAGGGCCTCCATGACCAGCCCCTTCCTCTCCCAGCCTCAGCTGCACTTACTCCCTCACAGCCTCATGACGACTAATAGTAATGCACACTCCACAGCAGCTGCAAATCGGTGCCCTGTGGGTCATATACAGACCACAAATGACACTTGGTTCCCACTTAAGGTTGCCAGATAAAATATGAAATACCTAGCTAAATTTGATTTTCAGATAAACAACAAATAATTTTTTAGTATAAGCATATTGCATGCAATATTTGGAACTTACCTACAGTAAAAATGTTTGTTACTTGAAATTCAAATTTAACGGGGTGTCTTGTATTTTTCTTTGCAAAAATCTTGCAACCCTATAATCATGCTGTTAGAAAATGAGCTAACAGGTAAAAATTGAGAGACTTCTCATAGAAGTTTAGACTTCTAACTTTGTCTTAAAAGAATTAGGTCTGGCAAGACTGAGCCTCTACTCCTCATGGCAAATGTTGGCAGGAGTCGAGCACGGCTGAGCCTTCAGAAGGGGCACACCCTCTCCTGGCTGCCACAGGCCCCACTCTCCCCCTCACACATGTAGGTTAACTGCCTGGCCCCATACACTTCTGAGTCTGCAACCCCAGGAGAGCACAGGCGTCATCACTTCTAGGATGCCTTTCTTGAGCCCCGAGGTGAGGTGACCCGCCCAGTTCCACGTTTGCACTCTGCACTTATTAAATGCCTACGAGACTGGGGTAAGAGGCACTCACAGCATCTCATGACGCAGCTGCCAGTGACTTCTCCAGCATCTTCTCCTGCAACTCCCCACCTTCTGCTGGAGAGGTGCTGTCTCTCACCTCCAGCTCCTTGCCCTGGCTATATTTCCTCTCTGCCTCCTCACCTGCCAACTCTTAACTCCTGTGGCGGGACCCAGCTCAAGCCTCACTCCAGGCCTCTCCTCTGGGTTTTGCAACACACAAAGCTTGGTGGTGGGGGCCAGAAACCCACCAGCCAGACCACCTTGCTGGAGACCCTGGATAAGCTATTTATCCTTATTGTCCCTCTCGGTCCTCATCTCTAAATAGCGATTGTGATGATAACACCTACCTCACAGGGTTAAGGATGCAACCAGTTGATATAAGCAGAATGCTTATTAGAACAGTGGCTGTAAGTGCCCTATTCAGTTATTACAATAACTACTATTTATTCAATCATTGCACAATTATTTATTGAACCCAGTCCATGCCAAGCACTCAGCTTGGCTCCCAGAACACACATCAAACTGTCAGATACTGATGTCAAGGAGTCATGGAACTAGGCTCCAGAGGAAGATTCCAACAAGAAAACAGGAAAATTGAACACTGTGTGTAAGTGCTATAAGAAATTAAGGGTTTTATGGAAAACTGGAGGTGGGATGGGAGTGGAAGGGTAAACTCTAGGGGGCTGGGAAAGGATCCCCAAAGGGAATGCTATTTAAGATGAAACTTGACAGATGAGAAGTTAGCATGATGAAGGGAGGAAGGCCCCAGGCACAGGGGACTGCAGCAAGGTCCAGGCAATACTGCCCTCACCATAGGGGACTGAACCAACTTTCCAGCATCTGTGCCCAATACAAGGCCACTTGAATCGGAGAGACACTCCACTGTGTGTCATGTCTGTATCCTCAACTCTATGATGGTGCTCAGCAGACTGCCGGTACTTAATAAAAGATTTCTGAACCAAACACGATCCAAAACGCACTAGGTTATTGTTTTCGACCTTTAAACATCACTTATATTCCAGGCTCGTAGTAAAGATCTTTTTCTTTGAGGATCTTGTATTCTGAAATTTTATGCTCACGCATGCACAAAATTGGCTCTAACATAACAGTGGTTTTAACAATATTTCCTCCAAATGAAGGTGACCAGAGAGGAGATGCAAGAAAATGTGAACCAGGAGAGAACTGGGAAGGAAAGCATGAATCAAAGACCTAGAAGAAATGGTGCCAAAGGATCAAGAAGTAAAAAGCCTTCTTAAGTCTCAGTATTACTAAGGAAGCACCTGCATAGTAAGAAAGCAGAAAAGGATAATAGCAGGAACAGTACACAGCACACTTTTTTTTTTAGCATCTGTGCATAGAAAACACGAGTAATTCAGACATCGTTTTGACCTTTGATGGAGTTCCTGAACTGGGGGCACTGACCTCACCATAATGAGTAGCAGCCCTGCCTGATGTCTGCACCAGTGGCCCAGAGCTCTACTCATAAATGGTGAGGCTTGGAAATGGTTTGGGTAAGTAACCACAAAATCAAACACTGTATGTGTCAGACACTGCTCTAAGCATTATACATCTATTACCCATTTAATCCTTGCAATAACCTTTTGAGGTAAAGCCAGTTAACAGCCCCATTTTACACATGAGGAAACTGAAACAGACCCAGTTGTAACTTGCTCAAGGTCACAGAGCTAGTAAAGAGGCACTGGTGCCCTAAGCTAGGCTGTCTAGTTGTGGAGTCCTCCCTTTGACCACTGTGCTCATAACTAGCTTCCTCTGCTAGGATGCTTAGATCTTTGACTAAAAAATTTGTTAATTTTTCACAATTAGTTTCCTTGTGAAACCAATGGAATGGGGGAGGGAAAACAATTCATTTGAGGATACCAGTGTGGCATCATACATACTCCACTCTCCCCCTCCCATGGGAGTGCAGTGAGGACTCAAACTTTGCAGGCTGCTATTACAATTAGAACTTACTCAAAGTGCATGGAGCACGTAGTAGGTGAGCAATAAATGTTTATTTCCTTCTCTTGGTAAAACGCAACACCAGGGCTAAGATCTTAATGACTTTTTGGCTAGTGTTCCTTCCAATACAACACACAATCTCTCCCTGACTGCAGTGTTTAAAAACTGACATGTTGTCGCATGGACGTGCAAAAGGAAAAATGCGGCCAAGGAAAATACAAGCACCTAACCAGGTGGCTGTATCGGGGCGCTGCTGGTGCCCAGAATGACTGACACCGAAGTTCCAAGGCCCGGCATCCGCAAAGGACACCTCCAGGGCCCCAATCCCCGCTTCCTCTCCGGCCCTAGGAACGGTTTCCCCAGCCCGATCTTGCACACTTGCCCTGCCTTTGCCCCTTTTCTTCCCTACCCCTCTCTCAAACTCGGCTAATGGCTGGGCGAAATAAGCCGGTGCTCGCTCCACGGGCGGGGATCTGAGGATGCACACTTCCGCCCAGCCTTGCGGCGGGAGGCTGAGTTCTGCGCAAAGGCGCGGCGGCTGCAGGTCCCCGGCAGCGCTCGCCGCCGCCTAAGCCGGTAGGAAACTCCAGCCCCAGCCGCCATGAAGGCTGCACGCCGTGCGCCCCGGGCGGCCCGCGCCACTCACCGCGGCGCTCTCGGGCAGGTTGTAGCGACACAGAGTGTGGTCCAGGTCGAAGCCGACCACGTCGCAGTTGACCAGGGAGAAGTGCTGAGCCATGGCTGTGCAGGGAGCACCGTCAAGTGCCCCGGCTCGCGGAGGGTGCAAGGAGCGAGCGGATAGAACGCTGCGTGTCCAGACCGGACAGGATCCGGCACGACGCCCCGGGGCGGGGCGGGGCGAGGAGGCTGCAGCTGTCCGGGACCCGACCCGGCGCGGCGGCCACGCTTCGCCCCGCCCCTGGCCACGCTTCGCCCCGCCCCTGCCGTGGCCCGGGCCTTCCCTCGCCCCGCCCCGTCCGCCCGCTCGCCACCCTGCATCCCGCCGCCGCCCGCACGCAGGGTCCCGCCGCTCCGGCACCGTGCACACGCTCGCCCACACCGACCCCGCCTCTAGTCTCCGGGGCCGAATGTGACAGGAGAGGCGCTACTACTGCAGAAATTGGAGGGCGCAGCTAAGCCCCTGTTGGCACGTAGCCGATGCGGCAAAATTAACTGGTGCTCGCCTTCGTTTTCAAGGCGCCAGGGAAACCAGGAGATTATAAAGTTAAACCTAACAATTTACTCTTGTGTGCAGAATAATGTAAGATTATGGAGAAAATTTTATCCGCTAATAGCCCTCTGATCTAGTTAGCCTAGAATTTGGAAGATCCTTTCGCCCGCCTCATCTCTGACCATGAGGTTCAATCAAAAACTTTAAATTCCGTGGTTTTCTGGGTAGTAAAATAGGAGACCCTTCACCATTTCACTCCTTGGAGTGCGTTAGAGAAAAATTAATTAGAAATCATGAAGGACGTCCTGGAAAATGACACTGATTAAGGAAACCAATGTTGGTTGTTTTGTTATTTGATTATCCTATTTTTTATTGTAATGAAGAAGTTTTCTTTAAAAAGATCAGAAACTTAATAGAACATACTACAGAAGAGAGAACTTTCTGCAAACAGAAGGTTTTGAGGTCTATAGAAGATAAACTGCTCTTGGGGGAAATTTTCTCAGTTTTCTCAGGGACTGTGTATAGCTAGTATAAATTTATTTTTTTAAAAGTTTTGTGTAACTATTTTATTTTACTTATTTTTGTGAAGAAGACTAGTCCTGAGCTAACATCCATGCCAATCCTCCTCTTTTTGCTGAGGAAGACCGGCCCTGGGCTAACATCTGTGCCCATCTTTGTCTACTTTATATGGGAGGCCGCCACAGCCTGACTTGACAAGTGGTGCGTGGGTGCATGCCTGGGATCCAAACCTGTGAATCCCTGGCCACAGCAGCAGAGCTCTGGCAATTGACTGCTGTGCCACCAGGCTGGCCCCAAGCTAGTATCATTTTAGATGTTTAGGAGAAAAGTTAATTCATTACATATAATGGCTGCTTGGGGCATTTAATTCTCTCTGAGAACTCCTGTACAAGAAGGGCTAGAACTTTGAGATCTTTAAAATCATTTAAAAGAGGAAATACAAATCTCCTCATTAAAAACAGAAAATGTAAATCTATTATCATTGTACTGCTTCTGTTTTAAATCTAAGGGAATACTTTGTCCAATGGAAAAAGGAATAATAGTTGTGACATAATGAAAATATAATTGGTTGAGAATTACATTTAACCCTTATGAGGCTAATAGATCAATCAAGGGATTAATTTAGTGCAATAAATAGTTCAATCTGGTAGGACACTTATTACATCTAGTGGACCCATTTGAATAGATTGGTAACTTGTTCCATTATAACTCTTAAAAGCCCCAAACAATTCTCTCTAAAATAGGAACAGGAAAGAATCCTCAAGAAGACTGAACTGTTCACTGTTAAGAGCACAACTGTGTCTTTAATGTTGTGAGTCAAAAGAGAAAAAGCTGGGTTGTTTCACAGCTTGTCCCTATTTCCCTTGCATAAGTCTGTTGGCCATGCAGCATTGACCTTCACTTTCCTCTTTGCCTCTTGCAGTAGAGTGCCTGCCAAGGTCAAACTTCCAGGTAGACTTCACATTGAAGGCCCTAAGTTTCCTTGGAGAATATTTTGCTTTATTGTGGGAATAGGCACTTTAGGAACTTCCTTTAGTATTGAAAATGTACAAGTGCATTCATTGCCAGAGGGAAGAATACAAAAGGATTGCTTTTAATGGCCCTGAGACTGGAGATGGCAGTTAGACCTGAACATGCTCATCAACTTACTGTATAACAACTGTTATATTTCTTATATTCCTCGTGTCCGCTCAAAGTGCCCTTGTGCTAGAGTCTAGACACTTTGTGGGAGAATTTAGCAAATAATCCAATCCCATCATCTTGAAGGATCTGACCCCTCCTTGACCTCCACTCACCTTTCCTGGCCAGTTCCTGGCACCTCAGTCTAACTCCTCTAAGAACAAGTGGGATGGTTCCTGTCCCTACACCTACTCGCTACATAACACTGAACTTAGCTACAAACATTCACTTCATTTCATAAGGCTTATTTTTAAATAAAGATATTTCCTTTTTTCCTATACATTCAACTTCTATCACATGTACTGATAAAATACCACAGCTCTTCTGTTATCACCCAAAAGTTCAATGTTCTGCTCAGATACTAATTAATTTCTGTTTCTTTGAGTATTAAATATGTCAGTGTTATGGACTGAAATATGTCCCCCTAGAATTAATATGTTGAAGCCTTAAGCCCCAGTGTGACTATATTTGGAGATAGGGACTTTAAGGAGATAAGTACTACAGTTAAACGAGGTCATACAAGTGGGGCCCTAATTCAATATGACTGGTGTCATTACAAGAAGAGGAAGAGACACCAGAGATGCGCCTGCACAGAGGAAAGGCCATGTGAGGACACAGGGAAAAGGTGCAGTCTGCAAGTCAAGAAGAGAGGTTTCACCAGAAACCAGCCCTACTGGCACCTTGATCTTGGACATCCAGCCTCTAGAACTGTGAGAAAATAATTTTCTGTTGTTTAAGCCACTCAGTCCATGGTATTCTGTTAAGGTAGTCAGAGCAGACTAATACAGTCAGTAAGATTTGACTCTAGGGGCTGGCCCTGTGGCATAGTGGTTAAGGGGGTGAGCTG